ATTGTACATTTTGTCTTATTATATTTAACTTGTCTCTTTTATTTTATTGTGTCTATTTTTTATTTGACTTATTCTCATCTACAAAACAAAGTACCTTGGAGTAGCAAATCCAGTTTCACCGTAATGCAAATTATAATGACAATAAAGGCGATTCTGATTCGGACACAACATATTTTTAATGTCAGCCAGGAGATTCAGTTTGCTCAAAAAAATTTAAGGGGAAAACATACTTTGGAAATTTGAGAAAATCATTTTCACATTTGAAATTATCTTAAAAAAAAACTGATTTTTACCGTCGGTACATGAGCTCCTGTAAACATATTCTCTCTGTGTGTATTTGTGGACCTGTTATCTGATGACAGCCATCGCTGACGGGGAAGACACGCCAGTTATCTGTGTGTGATGTAACCGTAGGCTAAATTAGCTCCATCCTGGCAGGACGGAAACAGAGGAAGACAGATGAGCTTCACCGGATCTCCAAAAGATCAAAAGTGAAAACTGTGGCTTTGAGCTTTGCAAACGGTGGGTGTGGGGCGCGTGTTGGTGTCTCGTGATGATTACTCATAGAGCAGATTCTGAAAAGAAGGGGGCAGTCCCTTCGTGTGATCAGAATTTAAATTCATGAGTCTGAGGACGCCAAAAAAAACAAAAAAACCCCACCAACTCTACTGAGAACAGTATGTTTCATCGACTCGTGCTAATCGAGTAGTTAGCAGTGACAACATAAGCATGGGAAACTGCTATAAAGAGGAAATAACATAATATAAGATAAACTAACTTATTTTTTTATTTTACATAAACTCTCTCGCTGCGTTCTCACAATCAGGTGACGAAGCGCGACGAGGACTCCTCGCTCATGCAGCTGAAGGAGGAGTTCCGGACGTACGAGGCGCTGAGGAGGGAGCACGACGCCCAGATCGTCCACATCGCCATGGAGGCGGGCCTTCGAATCTCACCTGAGCAGTGGTCCTCCCTGCTGTATGGAGACCTGGTCCACAAGTCACATATGCAGTCCATCATTGACAAGGTTCCATTTTTATACGATGATAGCTGGTTAGAACTTCTAGACTTACAACTATGTGTCAAACAACAACAGAAGCATAGAATTTATTTATTTGTTTGGATTGCCGTAACAATGGCCACTCTTCCTGGGGTCCTTACAAAAAAGCCTATGCAAACGAATGAATTATTTTTCCTGTTTTCGCTGCAGTTGCAGTCTCCAGAATCATTCGCCAAAAGCGTCCAGGAGCTGACAATTGTTCTGCAGAGGACAGGAGACCCGGCTAACCTCACAAGCCTTCGACCCCACTTAGAGCTACTGGCCAACATAGACCACAACCCTGGTATGTTGTTTTAATCAAATAAATAATAATGATAAAAATTCACTTAAAAACTTAAAGCATCACAAGTTTGTCACGCGACACAGCATTGTGCCTGAGTTGAAGTGACGTGACAGCCCACCACAGGCTGCTCTGAAAACTTTGCAAAGTGAAGAATGAATAGATTCTAAGCTGATTTTCCTAGATATTTTAATACAAATTTCCCCAAATCTTGCAACATACATATGCAAACATGCATATCCTTCAAAAATACAAAAGTCAAAGTAATCATCTTTATATTATGACTGATACACATGATTTTACCCATTTTGTCACATTTTTAAAATTTTGTTCAGCCAAAGTGTCACAGGAAGTGACATCAAAGGGGAACTCTCTGGTCTTTGTTTATTGAAACAATATTATTTCTCTCTTTAGTGACTCAAACTTTGACTTGTAGGTCTCATATAAATTACTTAAGAGCAAAAATAGTAAAATCTTTTGCAGTACTAAATAAGGTAAAGGAATTGTTTAATGATCTACAGTATATTATATAATGCAATAATAGTTCCACATTTGATTTATTGTGTTGAAATCTGAGGAAAAGCATGTAAAACATTTACAAAGTCTACTTTTATTTTGCAAAAAAGAGCCATAAGAATTATAGCTGGGAAATACTGTATTATAGTCACCCATCAAATATATTATTTTGTCAGTTGAAATTGTTGAAATTTCAGGAGTTGGTTGATTATAAGATTTTKCTAATTATGTATAGGGCTCATAAAAACACATTACCTTTGAACATTCAGTCACATTTCATTAAGAGGGAAAGTATTTATAATCTTAAAGGATTTGAAATGTTTGTGAAACCCAAAATTTGAACTATCTTGAAAGAGAGATGTACCTCAGTTCAAGGAATAAAGTTATGGAACAAATTGACCAACGATTTAAAAAATGCTGGTTTAATTAAGTTATTAGGAAGATTGGTAAAATTTTATTTGTTGAAGAAATATGAAAATACATAATAGGCATTCATATAAGCTACTAATTGAGTAGTTGTAATCTTTTTTATTACTATTAGATATTTTAAATTTTTTGTTTTGCTGACCACTAGGGTGTGAAATTATTATTTATGTAAATGTATGTATGTATATATGTATATATATATATTCTTTTTTGTTAAATGGGGACAGATGTTATAAGATTTGTTTCTTCTTTCTGCTCCCTTTCATTTAATAATTTTGTGTTGTGTTGAAAATAGTTTTTTTAATTAAATGTTTTGTTTTTTAACTAAACAAAATAAATGAAGAAAAACTAATTTAAAGAAACATCAGATTCTTCTCTACAGTCTGTGTTGTTAGCCGTTGTAGCAGCTAACAACACATGCAGACATTCCCCTTTGACATCACTTCCTGTTGCTTCACGTGTGAATATCTCAACAGCCGTTCATCTCAGCAGCAAAAAACTTTTTGTTGCATTATTTTATCAATGTTAACTTTCAAAAAATGCATTCATATTTGTTACATCACAAGCACTTTAAAGGTGGCTTCTTACTGAGCTCTAACTGATGGGAGGCTTGTAAGAAATAGAAACTCACTGTGAGGAAAAATAGTAGTAAATGTTCAATTGCAATCTCACTAAACTCTTGAGTGTTTGCAGCTAACTGATTGACTCATGAGGCTGAGTTTTAAGTATATAATTTTAAGAAGTATAATTACGGCTTATTTCCATGAGTTCTGTTTGCATTCTTGACCGTTAACTTTTTTTTTTCATCGTCCACCTCTTTGGCTCTTTTTTGTTCTTCTCTCGTCAGCTGCCCCCGCAGCAGTTAACCTGCTGGAGTGCTTGTTTGCTGTTTCTAACCTGTTTTTCAGTCCTGATTGTTTCTCATCAGTGCGCTTTTTAAAACTGGACTTTTGCCTCAGATGTTTTCTGTCAGAGGATTGGTGTGAAAGKGACGAGCCGGTCGGGACGCACCCTTTATAAATACCTTCTGGCAACCACTCACAGCCTAATGACTTTAAACCTAAACCACCACTTTTATTTAGGAATGGATCATCATGTTGTTTGAAGCAGACAGACGCGTCACCTTCAACGATTCTTGAGTTTGATCCTGACCAGATCAGAATTTCCAGAACATTCTTTATTGTGTATTTGTACTGTATGGTAGAGTATTTCATGTATGTGGGTTAATCACAGTGATCTCTGTAAATATTTTCTGACATATGTGATCCATCACATCAAACTGAGTGTGTCATATTTCTAAGCTGCTTTCCGCAGATCTGCCTTCCCAATCAGAATAACTCATTGATATTTGGTCTGTCCTGTTTTGTGGATTACTCTAATGAGGAATTTATGGCAATATTTTGAACAATATTTGGATATTATTGGACAACTCTGAAGAAAAATATATTTTTTTGGGCTACTGCTCAAAAAGGGCTTTAAGAAATTCTTTACGATTATATATCAGATATTTAACAAATTTATTCCTTATATTACTTTGAGGCTTAATCCTCGATGCGATGGGTCACACACATTCTCTAAAACGTCTCCTGTCTCTGAGCCAGACGTCCYGTCTCTGATGTGTGCAGATGCTCCCGCTCCATCGTGGGGAGAGCTGGAAGACGTGATGCTGGCGGTGAAGCTGGTGGTTCACGGACTGGTTGAATTCATACAGAACTTCAGCAAGAAGAGTCACGACGCTCCGCAGGTGCGCTGCCCGGTCAGATTAACGCCGTCAAATTCTGACGGCGACTGCCGATGCTTTTTGTCTTTGATGCGAYGGAGGAGAACGAGCCGGGAGAGGAGGGGGATGCTTTAAATGCACCGCAGCACATCACCTTCCTGCAGCACATTCTGTTCCTCCTGGCTGTGGCTCCAAAAAAATAACTAAATAAAAAATAGTACAACGACATAAAAGTTCTTAATTATTTAACTGATATAGCAGYGTTAAAAATAACCGTTAACAGCGAGCAGACGATGAAGCTGTGAACAATAAAGCCAGTCTCTAATGGTTCAGTCAATAAAGTTTTTATGCCATTGAGCTGATAAGAGCTGCAGAGTCTTTTATTCTGGGAAAACGACTGTGGTTATTAATTATTTGCTGTGTTTTTATTATAGTGTTGATCTCAGATGCAGATTATTTTGTTTGCATTTATGATAATGACAAAAATCAACGTTTTATGTCTTAGACATAAATGTGGATGAACTGGTTCTGTTAAATCGAAAAATTTCAGTGAAGAAATTATTTAAAGATAATGAATCTTTAATGCAATTTTGCAAAAACTTGTATAATCTGTTAGAGCTTGAAGCTATAAACACAGCAAATCTTAGCTTAATATCTGTAAAACTGACTGACTTAAAGCCATGTTTGTGTTTTTTAAAGGTTGCACGTGTTAGCACATTCATCCTAAACCAGCTCCTCAAACTAAACAAAACTTGAGAAGATTAGTTTTTTTTTCAGCTTGTTTTGCTCTAAAGTGATGATATATTACATATTTATCTATTCCAATTGTTTGAATAGATCAAATGTGTRCAAATAAAGCATGAATCAATGAGGAAAGAACGCTGCGCCAGCAGTAAAATGTGCCGTATGTTCTGATCAGCAGACGAGCACAAGACGTTTCTTTAACAGCACCGAAGAAATGATTGGAACATATATTTGTACCTTCGCTGTAGGAACCCCCTTTTTTGTGGAATTGAAGTGGCTTAATTTGTGTTTATTTGACAYGAGAAATTGAGTGAATCTGAGACTTCTTTATGTGTTGCTCAGCCTCAGGCCAACAGCAAGTACAAGACCAGCATGTGCAGAGACCTTCGTCAGCAGGGAGGCTGTCCGCGAGGAACCAACTGTACATTTGCTCACACGCAAGATGAGCTGGAGAAGTGAGTGAGAACGAAAACATCGTTCAGGATTAATAGAGAGATTAATAGATAAAATCTGATGAATTAGTTTTACTCTTTTATTTGATTAAATGTCACTTAGTTGAGCTTAGACAGATAAACTTGTCCCACCTGTTTTGTAAATATCAGAGTTTTATCTCATGGTGCTAAATATGGCATTTTGGTCAAACCTTGAAAATAACTTTATATATAATTACAAAGACCACCTTGCACACATATATGACCCATGTTGGCGAAATGAGTTAGACTGAATACAGGCTGCAGTGCAAAATTTTGATTTTTGCTATAAAAATTGTGAAGAAAAATGTGTATAAGTGGTAAATCTAGTGAGCCTGAYAAGTAAAAGAGCATGTAATCTTCCTATGTTAAAGTTTTCTAACAGGTATGTCTTCAGAAATGATCCTTAGTTTTATGAAAATTTAGATTTTCCTTTCAAATTGATCATGTTTTTCTGCCAGCTGACGTAGTGCCTTCCCTTTGTTTAATGTCTGGACCTTTGTAAATGTAGGGCTGTCATTCCCAAAAGCAATCTATACCAATAAAAATCAAGTTTTCAAACCTGTAATCATGTAAATAAAGCTAGTTTGTTGCCAGGCCAGGTGATACATTGCCAAGTTTTAACAAACGGCCTATCATTTTAACCATTATGGGATAGAGAATTAAAAAAAAAACTCCTCATTGTGACTCATTCTGTCGGCACGAGTAAAACTGTTCTAGTAGAAATGACCATTCTCTTCTGTTTATGTCTTAAATGGTTTCTAGTTCTCAGAGTTCTCCCTGTGTGCCTTCCACTCTGCACAGATTTAGATTAAAGAACAAGAAGAGCAGCAGCAGCAGCAGCAGCAGCAGCGTGGTCCGCTCTTTCCCTCCAGCCAGCAAAGGCCTTAAAGACCCAACGGAGACCACTGCCTCCGTGGCGGAGGAAGTTTCCTGCCTGACTCACTCGCAGCTGATCTCCAGAGGGCTGGGCACCATGGAGGAAGTCAAGAGAGCCATGGCCAGTGGAACCAGCAGGGCTAACGGGTCCAACGGGCTCCCTGGTACCAACAGAATCTCATCAGGGTCAGCGGAGCAGTAAGAATATTTCTTCACTTAGAGCTTGTACATATTCTGTTGTGGGCTGATATGACCCGGATCAGCCAGGGAAAACAGGTGAGTAACAGGACAGCTTGATGAAAACTGGTTAAAAGAAAAAAGAAAAGTGATTTGTTATTCATTTATATTCAACTAAAAATAGAACAGCAAAAGTACAGATAACCATTAGTTGCGGTCTACGAGTTCTGACAAAAAACTAACAAATAAAAGACAAATAAGTCAAACAACAACTAAGGTTAAAAACTATGCTAACAAGACTTTAAAACACTAAGTAACATAAATATAGGAACAAGATTAACCACTCAGGTAACCTTACAAAACAAAAATGATCACAAAGAAAAACTTTTAGCCTTAAATAAACATATCATGTTTTTAAATCTTTCTTTTTCTCATTTAAATCCTTCAGTTGGGATCTATATAAAGTGGGACTGCAATGCTTTGGTCTGAATTCCTCCTCATTGTAACTCCACAAGCCCCACCCCTTTTCTGCAGTGTCTGAACTTGTTTTGAGGCTGTCTCTTTAAAGTCAAATGAGCCCCCCCACCCCCACAGCTTCCAGACCGGTTCATTCTTGTTTGATAGAGTTTAGGATTACATAGCTGCGCAGAAACATTTTATTTACAAATTATTTAAAATATGTCAACATTGCAGTGTAACAAGTTTACAAATTAAAGCAGCACCAAAAAGCCAAAGTCACACATTTTCCTTGAATAAGACTCAAATCACAGCCACGACTAGCCGACAGGAGTGCTGGACTTAAATAACCGAGCCTCTTCTGTGGTTGGAGCAGCAGGATCTAAACAGTCCAACCAGGATGCAGAGGAATGCCCAATGGGCGGAGTCAGAAGAGGCCAGACAATCTCAGACGTGGAACCAGCAACCTACAACTGCAAAGTGTCTTTCAGACAACTAGTCTCAGGCCTTAATTTTGGTATTGAAACAATTAGTTTAATATTACCCAAATTCATTCTGTTGGCTGTTATTGTTACTTAGCTTAGAGCTTTATGTCCTCCCCAAAACATTAAACTGTTAATAGACCCAACATGCTGCGTAACATGTCCTTTTATTGTCTGCTGCTGACAAATCATTTTTGTGTGTTTTTCTGCTCATTAGGAAGTCCGTTTCTCCTGCCAGGACTCCAGTGAGCCACCCCTCGGCTCTGTCTGCCTCGAGTCCAGCCGGTGGTGCAGACGGTGCTTCTTTACCCAGACACGGTCAGTTTGTTCTGTCCTCACCACATCCCTCTCAGGCTTCAGAGCTGTACTACCAGGACCCCCACCCTGCTTACGACACGGCCCACTATCAACCGACCTGTGAGTCTTTTATTTTTTTTAAAGGGGACATATGCAAAATCCACTTTATTAGCCATTAAACACATTTGGTTGTGTACTTGGAGTCTGTAGGAGTGCAGGGAATTTGTATTTATTCTTTCCTGGTGCTGCATAGAAATATTTATATTATTTTTTGTCTATTATGTTGTCTGAAATATTACGTCAATTTATTTGTGACGAAACTCCCAAATAAGGTCTGGACTTACCTTGGGGTTGGGGTGTGAATCACCTCGTTTGGATTTAAAGAGGCAGTATCAAAACGAGTTGATCAGAGACACCTCAGAAAAGGGGTGAAAGAGGGGCTTGTGGAGTTATATTGAGGAATTCAGACCAAAGCATTGCAGGTCCACTTTATAAAGACCCCAACTGAATGATTTACGAAAAAAGAAGGATTTAAAAGCAGGATATGTCTCCTTTAAATAAAAATTCTTCAGTTGTCTTTAAAAGAGAGAAACAAATCTTTCCTTCTACTCTCCAGCAGGTTCCTACTACCCACCTGCTCTTCATCCCACTCACAAACCGTGTATGGCTCGTTTCCCTCGATCCTCCAATGTCCCAGAATCCTCTCTTCCGCCATCCGTGGTCCTTTCGCCATCTTCTTACCCGAACGACCCTCAGACACCGCATCCTCCGTCTTCGTCATCTTCCTCGGGGTATCCGCCACACCCGCACAGAGATCGGATGGGACCGCCCGCCTTTCACCCCCACCCGGGCCAGCCTCAGTATGGACCCTTGGGCCCTGGTCACAGTGTTTATGCTCCTCTCTACGACAGCAGGAGAGTCTGGAGACCTCAGGTGAGCCCCCTAATAGCCGTCACCTGTGGTTCGATAGCTCTGCTTCTTACCTGATGAAGACGATGATTACTCTTGCAGCTGTACCACAGAGAGGATGCCAGGAGTAACTCGCTGCCTCTAGAGGTGCTGCATTCCTCCGTCTACCAGCCTCCACTCAGGGAGAGATTCAACTCTCTGGACAACTACTGTTCAGGAGCCGAGCACCGGGCCGGCCTGCACAGGGTACAACCACACACGATGAAATAAAACAGAATTTTTGAAGGAAGTCTTATTACCCTTTCAGAGTTTTAAAGTAAGATCCTTTTATGAGGAAAGGGATTCAATTCAATTAAATTCAAAAGTACTTTTTTGATCCAAAGGGAAATTACAGAATATAGGGTAGAGTTGTAGTCATTTTGGTTAAACATCATAAATGACAAAATGCAAAATCTTAAACAGCATTGCAAGATTATACATCCCTGCTCGAACTGTGTTAAGAATGACTCTCAGCTTCTACCACGCCAACTTGTAGCCTAACATCTGTAAAACTGGCTGAGTTATTTTCATTTTTGTGTCGGCTAATGATTAGCTGCGGCAGCCATCATTGGTGGGGTTGACTCCAAAGTTTATCAGTTGTATGCACATTCGAAAGGGGTGCATTATGTCTTTTCCAGGCACAGAGTTCAGTTCTATACCACAGTCAAGTAACTATAGCCGTTTCCATCAATGTTTTTTAATGCGCATTTTGAAGTATCGCATCAGAAAAGGTGAGTGGAAATGGCATGATTCGAAAAAACCTCCTCTAATTCGCAAACAAGTTGATACGCTCGCTTGAGGTGGTTTTGGGTTTTTTGAAGAAGAGTTAATGCACAAAAGGAGAGATGGAAACACATTTGTCAAATAAGTTCTGATGTAGCGAACAGCTGTTCCCACTGTCTGTTTGATACCGGTACCAGAGCGACGGCAGCCGTGACTGCCAGTAGGACTCTTCTCCCGCCGTTGGCGTCTTCTCAGTTATTCGCGCAACGTGAAGAGAATTGCATTTCTTTCCCTACGTCTCCAGACAGCATGTAACATCGCCAGAACTAGTTGATCTGACAGAATAAGTACAACTTTCCCCATAGTAGCAACACGTTCCTAACAACTTCTCTCCATTGTCCTGAGAGTGTGGACCCTGCGAGTTTTACTTCCTGTTTACTATGCACATGCATCTGATGTACGGTAATTGATTCGCTTCAAGCCAGTTGATGGAAACACGTCTGATTCTCATTTCTTCGTTTTTTTCCTTTTTGCGAATTTTAAAAAATTCGCTCAAATTTCGAATTAAAATTGGATGGAAACACGGCTACTGTAAAGTTGACTTTGCATTATCGTCTATCTAAACACCGTTTCAGACACTCCCTCTTCAGCACGTCTTCACAACAATGCTTCGGGGGAGGGGTGCTCAGCTGCAGACTGAGCTCCAGGGAGGAGCTTTGTGTAAATAGGCGGAGCTTTGTATGAGCAAGCATTTAGGCAGCTCCACATGATTACTACAGGGGATTCAAGGATTTCTCGAACATGCATGAATGAGTCAAAGCAACACTCTGGGTATATTTTTGATGACAGAATGATATTATAACATAATTAAAAGTTCGAAAATTTTGATTTTGCATAACACCCCCCTTCCCCTTTAAAACTTTGAACTCAAAATTAAAGTGTT